AGCGAATAATAACAGTTTTTATTGGTATTTAAACAAAATTTGAAATCATACGGACGGACAGATAGCAATACGGACAACACACAACATAAATATAATCATTACCTTTTGTGAAGCAATACAAAACTTAAATTGCAAATTTACAAACGCAATGACTATTCGGAAGGATTTAGAATTGGAAGATGAACTGTGTTCAAAAACTGTTGCGCTATATATAACACTTTTTGGACTTTGGATGTGAATTATTGATTAAAGACTGCATCGAGGCAGATTGCGGCATATAAGTCCTCTTAGTTTTTGTTAATATACACATTTTAATATAACCTAAAGTTTTCCCGTTTGTTAAAATCTGCGCCCATGTTCTTCCTGCTAAGTATGCACACATACATACATCCGAATTGAATATTTCATGCCTATCCCATTACTGGCTTCAACCACGGCCTTAGTTTGACTCTACACATGCTTCGCAACGCTTGGTCTGTATAGTAAGGCATTGCGTTCTTATCGCTTGCTCGCAAGACTTCACTCAGGACGCAGTGAGCATATCAGACGGTCGCATGCTGCTCAGCCAACATCAACACGAAACAACAAACAATAAAAACAGCAACAAATGGGAGTTGAAAACCGGTAAAGCAGCGATGCAAAATGATGTAACAATTTACGGTAATCAATTTGTAATCTTAGTCGTAATCGTATTCTTGCACGACGTCGCCTTTGCCACGCCCATTGCTATGTTACTGCAAAACACATAGAAAATGTCGCAACTTTGAAAATAAAAATAAACAAGTAAGAAAGCTCTAGTCGAGACTGCTCGACTAGGAGATACCCTGAATCCTCTAATCTGATATTCTAATCATTCTGCACTTCTTTTATGCACACATACATACAGATGCATCCACACGCACGCATAAGCCTGCGCTCTGCTAACTGCGCAGTGGGCAGCGACTGCGCTTGGGCTGCGCTGCAGTGTGGGCAATATTATGAGAATTTATTTGTCGAATAATTTCTTTTGTAAACANTAAAAATGTTCAAATTAGGCTAAAAAAACAAAATCAATTTTTCGATTATTCTCGATAAAAAAGTTATCGGACGATTTATCGAAAAAATAAAGCAAACTCGTACTGCGTATGGTACACACGAGTATGCATGCCAAATTTCAGCTCTCTAGCTCTTATAACTTCTGAGATCGACGCACTCATACGGACGGACGGACGGACGGACGGACGGACGGACGGACGGACGGACGGACGGACAGACGGACAGGGCTATATCGACTCAGCTCGTCACGCTGATCAAGAATATATATACTTTGTGGGGTCTGCCACGCCTCCTTCTGCCCGTTACATACTTTTTCACAAAACCATTATACCCTGATTTCCCATTTTCAATGGGTTCAGGGTATAAAAATCGACACAAGAAGTTATCTTAAATCTTAATACTTCATCACAAAGCTGGAAAAAGGGTATAAGACTTATTGGCAAGACAGTTGCCAGTTCGTCCGTCCGTCGGACCTGAATCATGTGCTTGCTGAATTGTATATAGCTTATGAAATAAAACATTTTCGCTTTAGTTGTGAAGTTGTATAGCGTAGTCGGTTGGCGTTCCAGATTTAAATTTGTGTTAATATTATGATACAGATACAAATACAGATTAAGCACAAGTTATTAAAGATCGGATGGTTCAGCTCTAGTTCCTCTTTTACAGTAAAGCTTAATTGCAAAGTTTGGAGTGTTTATTCTTTATTTTTTCATAGTCCAGATCGACTTCGTATCTAGATTCAAAGCGTAAATCATTAATATTCCTATTGGTGCAAAACTGGTCGCGCAACACAACACGCGGCGGATTCGGCCTCAGCTCATCCTCGATGCGGGAAACTTTTGCATCAACGCCGTTCCACATGGCGTTCTATACGGCACGTGGCACAATCGAGTTCCGATGATCTGCAGGACGGGCACAATTTCCTGCTGAGAGACTTGCTTTCATGTGTCTTATATAGGAATTGGAATCATACTTATATTGCTCCGTTGCGTGCAAGATTCGTTTTCGTTTTCTTGGCATCTTTGTACATATTAGAATGATTCCAAGCGATAAAAGCTTGCGCATATCTCAGATGTAATCGTAAGAAATTAAAATTCTTAGTTTCATAAAAAGGGGTGCTTGTCAAGCAACGCTATAAAAGAGGGGATGACTGGACGGCTCCTGCAGTTCTAAATACGTGTTGTTATCATATGTGATGATGGGTTTGAAATGAAGGATCAGACTGTATTATATATCAATGTCTTGTAGGGATATATATATATATATATA